GGGGGGGGCTGTGGGGTGATGCCCCCGGTGTGAGCCCTCACAGCAGATCCCAGCGCCGCAGCATCCCCACGTCCTGCGGGGCACGAAGGGCTTTGGGGGAGCCGCGGTGAGCGCAGGCTGCCGGCACCCCCGGAGCGAGCCAGGCGGGCTCGGGAGGGTCCTCGCAAGTGGGGACGCGCCAGGGAAGGGTTAGGAACGGTCTGAGGGGTGGAAGCTGCTGCTCCCAGACGGATGGGCAGCAAAGGGCGATGAGAGCGAGGGGAAGCGGGCGGCAGGGCCCCCGGCCACGCTGCCTGCAGGTCTGCTTCTGTGCCTCCGAGATGTTTCCATGGTGCTGGGCATCTGCTGGTCCCTCCAGCACAGCTCTGAGCTGCTACCTCTGCCTTGTGCTCGGAGCCCACCGGGTCCCAGAGCCGCAGGGGAGGGGTGGTGTTCCTCAAGGACACGGGCAGGAGGGACACGAGGCACTCGGGTTGCACGTCGTGGCTGTGGAGCGCTGCACAGGGGCCTTACCTGGCTGAGGCTCCCGTGGCCAGCCCGTGCCAGGCAGCAGCAGGGAAGCACTCGCCGGCAGAGACGATGCCTGTTGATCCTCCCGAGCAGGTCCTGCTGCAGAGACTGCTGTGAGTGGAATCCGCTCTTACAGCGCTCTCCCACACAAGTGGCTCACACCAGCATTAGGCAGCACGGGGTTACAGACAGCGTGACCGCAGCTGCTTCACGTTTCCTTCGGCAGTGAGGAAGCAAACATCGTGGCTCCGGACCGAGAATCCACAGGACATGCTCACGCTGTCTCCAGTGGGCTCTGCCTTGCAGCCCGGGAGACCTAGAAGACGCGGTGGAAACCATCTCAGCATCAGGACCATTCTGGTTTCTCTGGTGCTTGGGGAAGTCAGCCGCATCCAGGCAAATGTCAGCATGGCTCCTGGGGAAGCAGAGCTGGAAAAGAGCAAGGCAAGATGAACCGAAACATCACCAGGGAGCAGCAAGAGCAGAGCTGCTCCGCAAGGGGAGATGGGCCGTAAGCGGAGGGTGACCACCGCGCAGGCTGGGGGTGAGACCTCGTCAGCAGGGCAGGGACGAGCCAGTGAGAGGTCCCATCAACAGTGACCATCGGGGCCGAGGCGAGGTGGCGAGTCAGGTCCCAGGGCAACGAGGGAAGGCCAAAGGACAAGTCTGGTCTGACGGGGTGGATGGAGCCTCAGGCACCCTCACGGCTCAAACCAGCACTGGGGCTCTGGACCAGTGCTTAAATAGAGCCCCCACCCTGGGGCAGAGGGAGGGGGCGTAAGTGGGTCTCAGCTGGGGCTGGTCAGGGCGATGAAGGGCGATTGGGGCACTCAGGGCTCTGGCAGCCAAGTCTTCCGGAGCGTCTGGAACAGAGGGATGGCAGCGGCTCCACGGCCGACAGAGAAATGCAGTACCCCCTAAAGATGAGATTATTGAGAGGGGGACGATGCCGTAAAGTGAGTGCACGCTCCGGCTGTGGGAAGGCAGGGCTGAGGCAGCTCCCAGCTGGCAAAGATCAGCTCCTTCTGCCCCGGGGATCCCCGAGGAGAGAAAGCCTTTCCTCCCGCTCCCCGTGGATCCCCGAGGAGAAAAAGCCTTGCCCCCCGCTGCCGCCCACCCGCCGAGCACCCCGGGCACCCCACGGGCAGCAGGAGGCCCTGCGTGTGGGGGGCTGTGGTGCTGCCCACGGGCAGGGGGGATGGCTTTGGGGGGCTCCTAGTGCCCCAGGGTGGGGTGGACGGGCTCAGAGGGGCAGCGGGACGCGGAGCAGGGCCAGGAGCGTGACACCCCCGGGAAGGCAGGGCAGAGGTGGGAGCCCCCCCACGCCGCCCGGCCGAGGCTTTCTCCGCCCACCAGCAAGCGGCGGCCGGTGCCATGGATGAGGTGACGGAGCTGGAGATGGGGGGGAACTCCCTCCTGAAAGCCGTGTGGCTCGGCCGGCTCC